TGATCCCATGCCTATCTCACTGTCAGTCTTTCTTTGCTACTTTTCTTGCAGCTTTCGACGGTTTAATTCGCATTATCAATGCTATTGGCGTTACATGTTACTGAGGATTGCTTAGCATTCGGGGGAAAGCTTCTCATTTTATGAACATATCAGCGTCTAGTTCAATAACCATTATATTGTATTTTCCCAAGTATCGTTGTGTTTGCAACGGGAGTGAATAACGTAAATTTAAACTGAAGGTGTCAAAAACGAAACATATGAGCATATCATGTCTCGAAATTGAAGGGTATCATTCATGCAATTTCATGACGTATCCAGCTCCCGAGTATTTCATGAAAGCCACTCACACTTTTGATCTACTCGATTATCGGCTTCCGCTCTCCAAACGATAGTCCACAGACCAAAGTTTCTCCCATGGTCGGTATCGAGCAGCCTGCCGCCCGTTTGGGGTCGATCGGGACGGTGATACGGTGCCTGAATAATCAAACCGCGAAGACAAAGGCGATCTCACACCGTCTGTCTGTCGCTGCTGCCCCAGTCCAAGAGCGTTATGCGTTCGTTCCAAGCCCTATGACGGATCGTCAGCTCCTTTCAGGAGACGTAAGCGTAGAAAAGGAAAACGGTCCGTGGAGTTCACGGGCCCTGGAGCTGGTCGCGGCGAACCTCTTCTGAAGTAGGGGCTGCCTCCCGTGGCTGCGAGCCTGCAGTTGCAGTTGTAGAGTCAGCGTCAGCTTGTCGAGCAAGATCGGTTGTTGAATCGTTGCCACGGTGTGACGGTGTGGCCGGGCCCTTTTTAGAATTAGAGCTGTTGCGTCGACTATCCAGGCTCTTGGTTAAAGTTTTTGCAACGTTGCCTCCAGCACTCGTTCGTTTCAGTCGAATACTACCCCGCGCGTCTACGTGTGCTGGCGCAACGGTACTCTTGCCTAAACCTGGCGTGGCTGGTGCGCCAGGCTTCTCCTCCATGGCATCTAGGAGGTACCAGCGAAGGCCATCAGATAATTCGAACGGATTCTCATCATCGAAGGAAGTGCCATCACTAGCCTCTCCAATTGACCGACGATCAGGATTAGCACCATTCATGGATTTCGAAAGATCCACGACCCTTTCTTCAATCTTCGTGATTCGAGCAAGCAGCCAATCCCGAGTATGGAGTTTGTGGACGTCCTGCTCGCGCAAGAAGTAGTGTGGTGCCCCGACATTGAAAGCGGCCCATGATCGAATGGCCTGGTTTCTCGTTGGTAAAAACAAGGCGAGATCCCCTTCCTTGAAAGACCGGTAGGCAATCTTATCATGAGCTTCACTTTGAGTCCGATGATATTTATCTCGGTATCCTCTCGCCTCCTTCTGCCATTTACGAGCGAGTACCTCGATGTCTTTAACGCGCTTGACAATAGCATCCCCGAAGATATCAACATCGAACTGATATAACGATTCCATGAAAGCCATGAACCTATCGGTTTCCTCTTCAGAGGTATCGGCGTGCATCCAGTCAAGAAGGGCCGGGTCTGGCCGTACCGATACCACTCCAGACTGACTGAGGGATTCTGCAGTACTTGAGAGTGCAGTAACCTTAGAAGACCTTTGGACAACAATATCCCCATCCTGCCGGACGACAGTGAAACCCAATTGCTCCAGCATATGCTCCACCTTTTCAACTTGTCTGAATAGCTGCTTCGAAAGTTCTTGAGATCTTGTCCCGCAAGTCTCAACTCTATCAGCAGCGTGCTGCTCCGTTTCAGCCATGGCTTCCACCTTTTTCTTCCAAACCAGGACCTCCTCCTCGGCCTTCCGAGCCTGAGCTTCTACTTCGTTCAGCCTCTGAGAAAGGTCCGCTAGTTTTCGTTCTTCCTCTATGACGCGTTCTCGAAGAGCGTCGGATCCTGTCTCACCGGATGCCAACTTAGACTGCAGAGCAATAAACTTGGAGCGTTCATCATCCAACTCAGATGCAACAGTTTCCAGTCTCGATTTCTCCTGCGCAAGTTCCTCTTTTACTAGCGACAGTTCTGAAGCACGCTTTTCTGAAGTCTTTCTTAACTCCTCGGCTTCCGACTCAATTTGGGTCAGGCGTTCTTCAAGCTCCTTGCTTTCAGCGACAGCTTTGGCGGAGCTTTCTTCTGCATTCTTAGCATGAATTGACAACCCTTCAGAAAGTACTTCGATAGCTTTGACGATGCTAGGAGTATCCACTGGAACTGAGCCCCCGGGCGATAGGTTCATGTAAGCAGCTTGTAGGGCATGATTGCTTTCTCGCTCTCGCTCTCTTCTTTCGGATTCTTGTTTCTCAAGTTCCTCGATCCGGGCATGGAGACTCTCTTCCGTTTCTTTAAGGGCCTGCGTGTATGCAGTTAGGTCGGTCGCCTTCTGTATCTCTCCTTCGGCACGAGCATGAGCATCTTGAAGTTCTATCTCAAGCTGGTGGATCCGCTCGTCGGCGTCCTGTTTCTCATGCTCTCGGCTTTCCATTATTCTATCCAATTCCTCCTCGAGCTCTTCAGCCCGGATCCGACACTTTTTCATCTCACCTTCGAGGAACCTCCGTTCATCATCGAATTCCCGCTGCCGGGCTTCAAGATTTCCTATCAAGTCATTCTTCGTGGACTGCACCTCTTGTATCTTGTCAGTGTTGGATTGGCGCTCCGCGTGCGCGTCCCTTTGAAGCTTCTGGACTGTCTCTCGTTCTGCTGCCAGCTCGGCTTCTAAGTGAACAATTCGCTGCACTAGCGCCTTCTCTTCTGAAGATTGGTTCGAGGACATCCGTCTTGATGAAACAGAGGACCTTCTTGAAAGCGTATCAGGATGAGGCGACGCTGGAGAGCTAGGGAAGTCGAGTGAGAAATTTCCACTAGCCGGCCTCCCCATATGGTTCTGGCGATGTAGCAAGTCTTCGAGCTTCCGAATGCGGCTCTCAGAGCCTTTAACTTTTTCTTCCAACTTAGACTTTTCGTCCCTCAAGCTCCGGACCATGTCATCACTACGAAGTAAAAGAGAGCTTCGGCTTAGGTCAAAGATACTGCCTTGCTTGAAGGCTTTTGCCCTGCGGCGTTGTAGGCGGGTAGGAGCATCTAGCTCTTTATAGAGCTGTGTCAGCTCTTGGACTGGACTGGCCATACCGTGTTTGGTCTTCAGCTCCTCAATGTACGCTTCGATCTCCTTTCTACTGACCACGGGCCATTCATACTCCTGGCCTCGTAGATTGACTTCGATCCCTGGTGTAGTCGAGTCGGATATAGAAACGAAATCACCCATGTTCTTGATCCATTTTTTCCTCCGGCGTTGCTCTTCATCCTGGAATACAGACATTTCCTCCGCTAAACTTAGGGAGTCATTCTTCATCTTGTCACTGAACTCACGGCGCCGAACAGACTCGATTAAGATGGACCCATAGACAAAGGGCATGTGGAAAACCGTGTAGAGGATGTCGAATGCATCGCTTTGGCAATTCAAATTGTTTATTTGAGACTGCACATCAGCAAGGCGTGACTCAATCAATGATATCTGTCGCATGTGATTGAAAGCAGTTTTTACTGCGGCATTATATTGCCTAGCGGCTTCCTCCAAGTTCGTCTGAATCTCGGCACTAACTTCCAATAGCGATGGTAGGAGGTCCTTGGTATGGCTCAGCGCAAGTCTAGAAACGTTGGCCAGCGTTTTCTGATTATTGGGCAGAGCCAAGACATGTTCATAGTCGGATTGTATCTTTCTAGATATTGTTTCCACTTCCTGTAGTAGGCTCTCAACACCGTCCACGCCTGCAGGAACCGCAGCATCTACCAAGTGCTGAGTGTCTGTAGCAATCCCACCAACAGCCTTCTCCACATCTTCAACCTGTCGAGCAAAGCGCGAGGATACATCCACTGCCTCTGACCCAGCTCTGTGCACTTCATCTGTGTCTAGATAATCACGTAACGTTCCAGTTGACTTATTCATGCCCTTTGTCGGAGTTGACGGGCGTCCTAGGAAGGGGAAGTCTTTTCGAGCTGGGATGTTCTCCAATGTCGCAAAGGTACGTTTCCATCCATCAAGCGCTACGTGTTGCTCTTTCAAAAGATCATTCGCCCACGTCTGAGCTTCCGTGAACCGATGTTCCAAGGTTCCCACATGAGTCTTCAGGTTCTCAAGAGCTACATTGATGGCGCGATTGATAATACCCGTCCGCTCATTATGCTCTTGTATATCCTTATGAATTAACTCGCAGCGTTCCGTCAAGGCCATGGCCCACGTACGTCTGGCCATGTAAAGATTTCGCCAGGCTTGGAGATCATTCTGGTCGGTGAGGGTATCGGGAGGGTTTTCGAGATCAAGCGGTTGTGGAGAGGTAAGCGTCGGGATGTCTTGTTCGTTGGGTTCATTGACAAATCTGCGGTCATATACGAAGATCTCGTCCTGATATGGATAGTGAGTGAGCTTGAATGTTAGCGGGAACAATATCTGGGGGAAGCATACTTCAGTGGCCAGTGTCTGAATCTTGACGTTCTTCCCACGTGCAGTCATTAAGATTTGTCTTTGGGATGGGATTGAGGTGTTTCGGGAAATCCATGACCGAAGCGCATCGGGACTAGCATTCAAGAATGATGGCGCCGGTTAGCATTCCCACACCAGAGCCAAAGGGGATAAAGAAACAGGGGACACAAGGGATGGTCCGGGCACATAGAGTGGAGGTGAAAGCCAACTTAAGATGGAGGAACCTGAACATACGATGCGAACGACACCGGATCAGCAAGCAAATGCTCACCCGTGTGAGCGATATATATGTGTAAAGACATCCCCACCTCACCTGCCGAACAGAGCGGCTCCAAAAGTTCTTTGTGAGGTGAAGGATACCGAAGGGGAGATAAGGGAGTTTCGTTCATATAAACGCAAGGCATCCAGGCCAGAAGAGCTCCCCGGACCTAGACCCGTTTTGGTTGACTGACACACGCCGCCCCCGGAACCACCCAAAACAAGACCGACTTTCTCCACCGCCCGGTCGCCCTCCATACGCCGTGTGTCGATTAAAAAAAGCTTCCTATCACGCGATGCTATTTTCGGCCAGCCACGAGGTCTCATTTCATGGCATCTGCGAAAGCCCGCTCCCTGCCTCACCTGGACCCGGGTGAGGTTTCTCTGTTGGATCTTGCAGAGGATGATCCGAGGGATGCCGTTTCTTTCTCGGACAAAGAAGCGTTGATCCTGCAACTATATAATCAACTTCAGGAACAAGAACTCGAAAAGGCACTCCTCGAACAAGGTGAATTGTCCCATATGTGTTTAAGGTCTTCCGTACCTTCAAGTTTTTCATTTTTCCCGCAAACGCAAAGACTGATGTCTCGTAGATGCCGAGCTACTCTCGGGGGATGATGCAGAAGAGCAGCTGGCCATAGCAGAGCGCGAACTTCTAGAAGCCAGAGCTACTTACACAGTCAGGCGGAAGGCACTTGGAGCTGTTCTTATGACAGACCCTACTCTCAAAGCTGTTCATATGAAAGCCACATATCCGGCTGAACAGTATGTCATCACTCTCTTTACTTGTCTCATCTACGCATGTATACTGGGCTTGGCATTTGACACACTCCTAACATATTATAGAAATCTTCTTCGTCTTATCAATAGACGGGATGTGCTCTCGTTAGCACATGAGAACTTGAATACTGCGCTTAGCTCGACTCTTAAAAAGTTGTCTAACGCGGAGGTGGAAAATCTGCAACTTCACCAAAAGAACAAAGCGCTCGTCCGAGAGCTACTAAATCTGACGAAGAATGACGAATCATGGAGGGAAGAATTGAATGATATGAGTATAAAGAAGCAATTAGAGCAAGTCAAAGCGGATCACCAAAAAAGCAAAGCGAAATGGGAAACCATAAAAAGTATTACCAGCGCTATCGTTGTCGGCAGTGGTGTGAACTGGGCTGAAGAAGAAGAGCTCGTGGCTCTTGTATTGGACGACTCTGACGACTGATGGTTTGGTGACGATAAAATTTCTTCTACTTCTTTTCTTTTTCTTTTTCTTTTTGGTTTTTCCTTTCTATCGGACCAGGCTGGGGCCATTTCGAAGGCGTTGATATACCCATTTAAATACCTACTACGGAGTAGAATAGAAGAACAATATGATATCGTGTTTAATCCTATATTGCGGGCTATATGAACTGTAGAGAAAAAGGCTGTGGGAGGTGACCGATAACCTTCTAAGTTTTTATTTATTTATTCTATTTATTCTTATTCTTATTATTATTTTTTTTTCGTCTTTTGTGTTTACAGATCACACTCTGTAACCATGTCAACAAAACCAAACTGAAGAGGACGATTACAATTCTGCACGACCCACGTGACATCATGGCGGAGCCGATGACGGCAAAGACGCATTCGTCATGCTCAGTACGATTTTTGCAAGCACACCCCGAAAAACATGGATGGGGAAGTTTATTCAATCCTCCAGATAACGAAATAAATTACAACGAGACTTAGCCCACAGCGCTAAGGTACAGGTAAAATCACAAGGCACTCCACATTTCATCAGATGGTGGGAGCTGAAAAAATAAAAAGAAACAGGAAAAGAAAAAAAATTTTTTTAAGGAAAATACAAGCCCCATAATATGTATGAGCATATAAAGAGCGCGTATCAAGAAGCATGGGAGAAAAGAATAATCAGGCCAAAGAGGAGCCGGTGTTTCCACATGGAACCAGATTCGATCACCCCCTCATTATTATTAATGGGCAGATACAGGACCTTACTTACAATACCATGATCGGTCACTGCCCCAATAATACAGATCCAGTATTTGCCGGTAAACTGGATGGTGTTGTTTGGCGTGGAATGCAGTGGCATTTAATAACAAAGAGTGAGCAGTACTTTGTGATCTATGCAAAAGCTTACAGTACCGACTACTAGTTCATTACGATCATCTATTTATCCAAGTTTTTTGCATGACACTAAATGGTTAATTTATTTTCTTAGTATCATCTGCAGTGAAGATTGGAAGTCACTATCCGGCAATCAACACTGTCGTTCACTACATGGACCCTGGAAACAAACTGACAGCCGCTTTGTCCTCCGTGGTACAAATGATTCATCATCCATAGGAGTGAAATTCCCACAAATCAGTCCCTGGAACCACTGCCCCAAAGACGAGATTGTAATACTCCTGGGTTGACCATGGGAAACAAGAAATGAAGGCAGTGGTATGATGACCGAGCACAATTGGCATCCGTCTAGTCTACTAAACAAGTGTCGTAAGCTATCTTTTACTGGGCGTTGATGCTCTCAGCGGCCTCATTGGTAGATGCTCTGGGTGTGTGGCTTTGCGTTAAAAAACTTATTGCTGAGCTATGTGTCTAGCTACTAGTATCTATCCCTTAAGACTACGACCGCCTCTCTCATTGGTAGACGACTGTATGCCAGGAGAAGAGCGCTATTTAGTGTCGTTGGAAAGACTGTGCAAGGTACCTCCTCGTCGCCCGTACACGCCAATTCGATCAAGCATTCTGTTGCCCGTGCAAGGGGCCCTTGGATGTATAACCACATAAACCCATAATACCTGAGGCTAGTAGAGGTTATATCATACTAAACTAAACGGTTCTCACGGATACGTATCCTTGTCCAAACCAAATTACCCCGGACCCTCAGCACATGTAACTGGCACAAGTGCCGAGGGGAAGCAATGAATAATGAAATGTCCATTGGGTTTCTTCAACGGTATATCTAACAGAGAAGGGAGTCCGTAAGGGAAATAGAGTAGAAAAAGGTACGGACGGATTAGTATAAAAAAAATAAATTAGCAGTGCACTATAACCCTAAAGCATCAATTGACTTCTAGGTGGAAGGCTAGGACTACTGTTTATCCAAGAATGGATAAATTTATGCACAACAGAGATTATACTATCGCAAAATTGGATCCAGCATGAATTCAAGTAGTTTCACATATATTGAATGATCCAAGCCTACTCAAATTAACTATAGGCAGTACAAAGCCGTAGTGAAGTCGTAGCTAAGTTGGCTAGAAAGATTGCATAGGGGAACGGAGTATATACATACACGGTACGGAGATTTTTGCAGGATGGGAAAGTAATCATAGTATGGGAAGTACTGGAATCCGACTGCGACGTTACTACTGTACCGTACTACCACCACCACCGTCCATATTCCGTCAATCAATGGATACTGCGGTGTATGTATTTTACCTGATGTAATTTATCCACATGGTGGGAAAAGTAGGTAACCTGATAGTGGCGGCGGCTGATTCATGTATTGTGACCGTCATGTATCATACAATACACTAGCTCATAGTGGAGCTTTGTCGAAGCAATTCATCAACGAAAATTCGTCGCTGGCAAACTTGTCTGACCAGATAAGCTCAAAGAAGCCATAGAGCCGATACCAATTGTTTCGGAGCAAAGATTCTGCTACTTCAGTCGTCCGCTCGCTCAACAAAGTGCGGGTGTTTAATGAAGATGACAGTGTTGATTCGGTTGTAAGGGACCACCGATGGAAGGCTGTACATGACGTGTATGATACCATACCACCCATTCCCCGAACACACCATAGCCAGTCGCAGCCAGCCGACTTCCCTTGCTGTGCTTGCCCACTTCCCCCCTTCGTAAGTGCGAGTGAGTAGGTAAGTAGTGGCCCGCCCTCCCGTCTCTCTCTTCTCTCTCCTACTACTACTACTCTCCCCTCTCCCTCTCTCTCTCACTCTACCTACTCTCCCTCACTACGCTTCCCATACAATTCTCTCTTCCCCATACAAAAAAGTACTGCATATCCGCATCGGTGAGTTCACTAGTAAACACTCGCACTTCTCACATTGACTCTACACAACAAACACAATTATTCTTTTCTTCCAAAGCTGTCTGTTTCCACTGTGAAGGCCTTCTTCGAATGCCGTTTCCCTTGATTTTTTTGTCATGGCTTCGCGATCTCATCGTCGCGCACCTGCGACGGCAACTATATAGTTCCAGAAATAATGCGTGAACCCAAACTGACTTTACTCCCCAACAGGCCAAAACTGCCGACCTCAGAACACTGCTACTTGATTTTTTTTCTGAGTCAATTGTCGGGTAAGTGTCTTGCGCGCTTTTTCCTTTTCGTGTTCTGCCTTAACTTGCGCCCGTGATCGGACTTGTTTGGGGGGCGCGCTTTTACGCTCTGGCCGCACCGTACTTTTTCCACCGCGCGCAGAGTCGCATTAGTCGCACCCTGAACTGGATCTGTTCATTTCTTCATTATTCTTTCGCTTTTTCTTTGTTCTCATTATTTCCATCCAATCCTTGCCAACGCGCCCAAGCCGCTCTTTACATTGGCAAATCCTCTTGGCTTCGAACCTTCTAACAAGACTTTGTTCTCAACAGATCACACTAAAGATGCCTAAGGAAAAGACCACACGTAAGGCCAAGGGTACCCGCGTTGAGCGCAAGAAGAAGGGTATGTTCCCCGTCTATATCTCCTGAAGCACACTGACTGATCTCAACTGTAGACCCCAACGCACCCAAGCGTGGTCTCTCCGCGTACATGTTCTTCGCCAACGACAACCGTGAGAAGGTTCGCGAAGAGAACCCCGGCATCTCTTTCGGTAAGATACGCAAACTCGAGGTGCATTCTCTGATCGGATCAGCTAACCCCGGAACAGGTCAGGTTGGCAAGATGCTCGGTGAGAGGTGGAAGGCCCTGAGCGACACTGAGCGCCGCCCTTACGAGGAGAAGGCTGCCGCTGACAAGAAGCGTTACGAAGACGAGAAGGCGAGCTACAACGTATGAGACCCCAGTCACTTCTTCCATGTAGACAATGCTAACGGACTGAATTTCAGGCTGCCCCCGAGGACGATGAGGAATCTTCTTAAAATGTTTCTTCCCCTCGCAGGTCTTGTGAATCTTGACCGACTGGCGTTTCGTGTTGTTTATTCCCGCTAATTGCCTGACTTGTATTTGTCGCCTCTTATATTTCCTTTTACTCAATGGTTTCTGGTATGGGATGACGGTGGTTTCTCCTTGCTTTTCTGTTCATGAAGGATATTCAATGGGACATGTTTACTGTATGGACTGGCGGCTTTGGGACGAATTTGACTTAACTCGAGGGAGCCCGGCGCTGTTTTCCAGATCGGCGGGAGAACCTTGTTTTGAGTATCTATGGTGAAATATGAATTGAAGCTGTTGAGGCAAGCAAATCTGCTGTACACTAGCCTAATCAACCGCATCCTTACCTTTTCTCTGTTGATCGCCCCAGCGGGTCTGCGTGCCATAAATGAACATTAAGCTTATGTCGAGTATGAAGGAGGGTTGAGAACAAGAACACAAGTGAATCAATTTCTCTAAGGCTTGTGTTGGTGTTGAAGCTGTGGAATTGCAAGGGAGCTCTCCTGGCCCAAGCTCCAGCGATGACGCGGGGGTAAACTTGTTTACGTGTTGGACCCGCGCGTCTTCCGTACATCCGATATCTCCGATAGTCAGTCGCCTTGGTGCCTGAAACCCCAAATGAACCGTCGCAAGTTGCCACCAGTTCAGTGTCTAGACTCTCATACCTACTTAAATATCCCCCATCTCCCCTCTTAATTTGGTCAACCAGTACCTACTAATATTCTGACACAACACATCTTGCTTACGCTATGAGTTTCGAGATATGCAGTCTTGAGCAGTGCCATCCAAACAAAAGCCGCCAGCATGGCCAAGAACATATGTACATACATACGCTAGGGCACACATAACTATTTTCCGCGCGCAACTGTGCTTGTTCCGGCACTTGTGCGTCACGCTGCTATTTTCTGACTGGGCAGTTGGTGGACCTTTGAGGGTCATGAATATCCGTCAGGCAGAAATCACATATGATTCAACATGTTTGCTATACTAACCACCTGGAAGCGATAGGATTTGTCGACTAAAAATCTAGAGCTGTGTGTCTACCCAAGAAGGGTTCCCGAACGCCCTGTGGTGCGTGGGTTGATTCTAACTGTATATGGCCCAAATGAGAAGAGTCGAAGGGCAGAGAGTGTACCCATTGCTCTACATTACAGTTGCAATCCGTATCGGCACCTGGGCTCAATACTATTTGCACAATATTGAGATTCTCTACGAAGGTGATGGCTGAAACTTTTAGGGAAAGCTTGCCCTCCCTGGAACAGACGTCAAGAAACAAAGGCTTCAGATATTCACGGCTTGGTGACTCTGAATCCAGGATGTCTCCGGTAATACCTGGAGCTTTAGGTTGACCTTCATTACCCTTATTGTTCTCCTTCCTGCTAAGAAGGTCGGTCCTCTCTGGAGCCAGATATCACTTTCTCAGTCTGTCGTAGTGGAACTATGGAGCTTATCTGTTCTTGTCAAGGGCCGAGAAGGCCATTTAGCGTTGTATAAGCAAGAACTCAGTCCCTTCCAAGCCATGGGTTTGGCATGCGAATTCATAGGTTCATGACAGAGAGTGGGCCTTTGACTGTCTTGTGAAGAATATTAGTAGTTCTTCTCCCGTGTTCAAAGATAGCATTTCATACGTGGGTTGAATGGAGAAGATAGATGAGCCGAGATTGTCCACCTACTAAGTCCGTTTGCTTACCAGCCGGTACTATAGTCATGGATAGATATACCCACTACAACATTGATCGAAGAAGGGGTTCGTCCAAGTCAATGATTATCTCGTGACCCGGTTGGTCAGTGACACGGGAATTCCTACCCGTTAACGTGACTACATCAATTTCCTACTTCCTTCTCGCTGCATGTCAGCCACCGGAAATGGACTTGTCTTCCGCCGTCACGATGCCCCAGCTCTTGTTTCATTGTTCCCGAGGTTTTCTTTAGGAAAGGATTGATCGTTTCTCCCCTCAAACAAGAATGAATTCTTTTGCTGAACAGTGACAAGCTGTGTGTGAGTGAGTATTAGTTACACTGTCAGTCTGTCCAGCCTGTCCATCACCGCTCAATGGCGCCAATGCAGCTCCGCTCCTCGTTTATTGGCTTTGTCCCTTCTCCGCTATGGACACGTCAACGATCCCAAGTCAGTTAGACACTTGGAGGGCAATTACCCTATACGTTTCAAGCCATGGTCAGCATGAGAGCCGCAAGTGAGGGTCATGGATGGCTTGGGGTTTATAGGGCTCGTTCCATTGACTATCGGGTTCGATCTTTGCCCCACTTGACGGCATCCTTGACCCGCATTTCTCTCGACAGATGATTGTTTAGTTGATGAGTTATCTAATTTCCCTTAGGTTCTGCAAGAAATTGATTTTGGAAATCTTCCTGGCTGTGAAAGACTCGATCGTCTCTTTTTCTTCTTCCTATAATTGAAGGGGTCAGTCCGGGAGAGCACTAACCCGTTAGTCCCTCAGGCGTGCGTCTCCAGTCGATACGATGCATGCGGATCGCACAACACTCTCTTCGAACGCCCTCGTTGCATTATTCTACGACTGAGTTGTCGTCGGGTCACCCCTCCACAGCTAAATCTGTTCCGACTTACCCTTATGAACAGGCTTATTTAGCTTTAACCTTCTTCTCCCCAATTCTTTCCTTTTTGGTTTTTTACCTTTCCTTGTCCAATATAAGATCGCTGGCAGGGTTGTCTCCCTACCCTTTCTACGTCGGTGTTGCTTCCTTCCTATACCTCACCGACTATCATATAACATCCCCATCCGCTCCCCACCTACTGTTCAAGTGTCACGCAAGGGTCTTATATATTTATTGTATGTGTATGTATCTGCATGGCCCATTAGAGGTAAACGTCCATCATGGCCCTGCGTACTTCCGCCGATAACGCAGAGGATGTGGCCGCTGGCTTTCGTGAATTTCGTGAGCATCTCCCCGGACATGAAGCGGAAATCACTGGCCTTATTGCGGATCTTTTTGCCATCAGTTCAGCTTTGAAGAGGTTGGATGACCTGACAAACGATCGTCGTCATCAGCATAACCTGGCCATCGTGCACCCGGACCTGGAATTGGTCCGTACTAGCTTGAAGATCACCCTCGAGGATATCGTCGATTTCTTCGGCGATCTGGAAGTGCGCAGAGGCTCTGCCCGAGATGTCTATCGTCGAACCTGGATTGAAATGTGTGAGTTCTTCCGGGACGAGGGGAAGGACTCACCCCCCACGCGCTTAGCCAGGTACAAGACGTATTTGAATGAATTAGAGGATCATATGACCGAGTATGCCATTCTACTTTAACGTCTTGCCACTATAGTGCTGTGTTCTTACTTATGTCCTCGGGTTGAATAGCAAGTTTCCTGATCCCTCGTTCATGGCTAGCCTTCGCAATGGTCTGAAGGGATTGCTAGCCCAGCAATGCAGTCGATTACCACACCAACTGGGAAGCATGTCTCTCAGCACACCGTCCTCTCCCAGTAGCCATAGCGCTGAACCTGGCAGCCCGGTTAGCGACCGCCGGCCTCGCAATAAAAGGTCCTACGAGCGAGCAAGACCTTCTCATACGTCTCCCCAATCACCTCTTTCTCCTGCATCTGGAAATTTCTCAGACGTCCCACCATCGGCCCCGGATGCACCGGGATCCCCTTTCACTAGTTCAGCCACGAGCCACTCCCTGGGTTCCAACACCATCAGTGACCATTGGGCAAAAAGTGCATTCAAGGAAGCGCGTGCAGCGACTCGGATTCCATATGTTGGAGAAAGGTAAGGTGCTATAGTACAACCAAAGAGCACCTGAGCTGATACTTGCTTAGTTCTAAATGTCTTGGTGATGTCACTCCCGGGGTAAAGCGATGGCTCAATGAGACGGGGTTCGAGGAGCTTTTTCAATTGTACGCGTATAAGAACTTCACTTCTGCATACTTTCTGCTAACATGATACAGAGCCTTTAACGGCGATTCGGACTTACGTGTGTATTTGTATGTACGAGAAGATGACCACCGAGCGCGCATCGTATGCAAAACCTCTCGCTCGCCCCGCTCCAGCGACTACCACTGCCTCCCTCTGAATATGCTGGAGATTGTCCGTGTCGGCTCCTGCCTGCAGTTGTGCCGACGGCGCCGTGGCGGTCATGAACTTGTTTTGTGGGCTAATCTCAAGTTCAGTACGCTTGAGCGTGCGTATTAACTCCACCCCTACGTTTTTTGGAAATGGCACTGAATAATCGAACAGATATGGTACTGTTTTTCTGCACGTTCCTGGCTCTTCGCTCTCAGGACTGTGGCCGGCCAGTGGATCGCATCCGTGATTATGAGTTAGACGATGAAGAAGAGCTGTTTGGAGGGTATGAGAACTCTCAATAACAAGCTAAGTGGGTGGTATATTAACTGAGGTTTTGTAGGCCTATTGTCGACGACAATTTCCTTCATGCGCTACGCATATACAAAGACCGAACATCTGGCGCCATAAGACTCCAGGCATCAGTACATAAAGGGGAAATGAAACGGTGGGATTCCCGGGGATGAGATGAAACTAGTCCTTTTACTCATTGGTAATTGATATAGTGCTCCAGTTTGGACAGCATTCATCACAAATCATATTGGCACACGAGGTTGGATCCGTCAAGCTGATTCAAGAGTTGTTCTACTACGTGAACTTCATCGGACGATTTTCACATTTGATCACTACGACCCACCACGCACGTCCAGAGGAGAGCATATAATAAAGTTTTCAAATCGTTCTGGTTGGTCAATTTATTTCTTTGTTCTTATGTTTCTTGACGTCCCATGGTACCTACCGTATACTGATTCCAGTACTTCAGATGCCCAAGGATTCATGCAGACTATTGCCGAACTCGCTGGCCACTGACCTCGTCTTTCGACTTCCTCATATCATTGCCTATTTATGGGTCAACAACATACTAAATATATATGAAAAAGGTGGGATTTATGAATAAACAAAAGCAGGAAAAACAAAGAATCTCCTTAATGACACCCAACGACCAGCGCCCATGACACTGTTATATTATCCTAATTATCAAACAATCACGATTAATGACTTATGCTTACGAGTTCATGAGCTGACGAAGCTAACTTGGTGGTATTCTGGTCTCTTTCAATGTTACAAAAAACAAAAAGTCGCCCCGCCACTCCTTGATGGTGTGAATAGGGTCTGAATTCAGCTGGCTGATTGTCGCCTGCGCGAGACATTTTTTTTTTTTTTTACGTTACTACTATTCTAAACTTGCAGGTTTTCCAGAAGGGAATTGATTACTTTATGTCTTTTTTAGCAATCACAATATTTTCTAGAAGAAATGAAAATCATGATCTAGCAGAGCAAAGGGGTATCTTAGAAATCTTAGAGCATAATATACAGGAAATACATCAAACACCAACATCTCCCAGCTTAGCAAGAAAAATCTCCGCCTGCCTCTTTGACCGTAACTCTCCAATCTTCTTCCGCCGTTCATCTTTAACCCGCTCTCGCTCTGCCTTTCTCTCTCGGCGGACTTCCCGTTCGTGCTGAGTTTCATTCCGCACGTTCATAAGATCCTCCATCTGCTGCCGGCGCACATTCTCATCTTTGGAGAAGGCATAAAATCCGGTGCCCCGATTCCGGACCTCCGCGTCCGCGTCATAATGCGTCTCTTCCGGTGGAGTAGGAGACCGATCTCTCCGCTTAGCCAGGTACGACATCTGCGCCGCCAAACCGGCATCAGGATTGAACGCCTCAGCCTGCACAGCAGCCCCATAGATCAGATTGTCCGGCCGAGAAGGCCGCCAACGTTCCTTCGCGTCACCCCGTTCGCTCTCTTCCTCCTTTAATCGGGCCGCACGAGTCGCCTCGGCTCTGGTCCCCCGACGAGCCCGACCAAGCTCATCTTCATACGAAATAACCGATGCGTTCTCATCAGCATCCTCCTCCTCCTCTTCTTCCTCGCCGTCACTCCCAGAACCCTTCCCTCGCTGCGCATCTGCCCATTTCTGATCAAAATCCACCAGCCCCTCTTTCTCCCGCCGCCGTAGTCGCGCGAGATACTCGTCCTGCGTTTCCTCTTCCGAGTCGCTCCCGGCCGCCAGGTACAGCCCCTTCTTCAGATCCTCGTACATCCGCGCCTTCTCCTCCATACGCCGCTTGGAGCGGTGCAGCGTGGCGGTGTCTACGCCCCCAATGTCTTGGGATCGCTGATGTGTTTGGTGGGTGTCATCGTCGCGGAGGTCAGCGGCGGCACGTTTCTGGGCGCCTTTGTTGGGGCGCGCGAAGATGTCTGATTTGTTGGTTTTGGATGGTCGGGGTCGGCCGCGGGTGGAGGAGTCAGCATCTTTGTTGATGAGGGAGGAAAGAGCTGTTGTGAAAGCGAGGGTAGAGGAGGAAGGGGCATTAGATTGAGATTGAGGGGTTGATTTGGAGCGGGGAATGCCGTATAGTGAATTTGGATTCGACATTATGGTGGATTGTTGGAGATGTTGGAGTAAGAGTATTGAGGTTTTGGAAGATTTAATAGATATGCGGCCGTAATCGATAAGGCGTGATTGAACAGAAATGGACTAGGTGGGAATAGGCAGGTATGACTAAGGTCCATGGATGGCCCCGCGGAAACCCCTCCAGACTTGTTCACTCCATATCCTATCGATATATTCTCTCTCGGTGCTTCTCTTCTTTCCCTTGTCTTTCTGGAGGTGCTTTCTCTCTTGTTCGATATTTGATTTACTTCATCCGGTTACCATTCAAGCCCAGTTCCCGATCAATTACCTATCATCATGTCGAACCCCGTCTATCTCGGTGTCATTGGTACGTACCAAAAGAATATCTACAACCAACAACAACAACAACTCATACACTACACCCCATTCAATCCCAATTTTTAAACAGGGTACTAATAGCATCGCAGGAGTCGGAGGTGTAGGCACATCCTTCCTGAGCCAACTTGCCCGTCTCCCCAACGCTCCCAAGCTCGTCCTCCTCGCCCGCTCCAGCCAAACCCTCCAGTCTCCGACACCGGCCTACTCCCCCGCCATCCCCGCTGCAGACTGGAAAACCGCCGTTGAGACCCCCTCCCTGATCAAATCGGGCGCTCTCTCCGTCGACGAAATTGCCTCCTACCTCTCCTCCGCCCCGGGTCGCTCCATTCTCGTCGACAACACCAGCGACCTCACCCTCGCCAGCTCCTACCCCGTTTTCCTCCGCAAGGGCATCTCCATCGTTACCCCCAACAAGAAGGGTTTCTCCTCCGACCTCTCCCTGTGGAAGGACATTTTTGCTGCCGCCGCAGAGGGCAAGGCCCTTGTATACCATGAGAGCACCGTCGGTGCAGGTCTCCCCGTGATCTCCACCCTCCGCGATCTCGTTAGCACCGGGGATGAGGTTACTCGCATCGAGGGTGTCTTCTCCGGCACACTGTCCTTCCTGTTCAACACCTTCGCCCCGGTTTCTGGGCCATCCGGCGCAAAGTGGAGCGAGGTCGTTGCGAAGGCCAAGGAACTTGGCTATACTGAGCCTGATCCCCGTGATGACCTGAACGGTATGGATGTCGCCCGGAAGCTGACTATTCTGGCACGTATCGCCGGTCTGGAGGTCCAATCTCCTGACTCATTCCCGATTGAGTCGTTGATTCCTAAGGAGCTCGAGTCGGTGCCCTCCACTGCTGATGGTATCAAGGAGTTCATGACTCGCTTGCCCGAGTTCGATGGTCAGATGTCGGCTATTAAGGAGGCTGCTGAGAAGGAAGGTAAGGTTGTGCGTTACGTTGGTAGCGTTGATGTGGGTAAGAAGGAGGTCCGTGTCGGCCTGCAGTACTTCGACAAGGATAGCTCCATTGCTGGTCTGAAGGGCAGTGACAACATCATCAGCTTCTACACGAAGCGTTACGGTGGCAACCCCCTCGTTGTCCAGGGCAGCGGTGCTGGCGGTGACGTGACTGCCATGGGCGTGTCCGCCGACCTGATGAAGGTCGTGCAGAGACTGCAGTAAGCCACTTTATCGAGAGACCAAGGAATGGTCTGACTTGGATATGAGAAAGAAAGAAACCAACAAAAGTAATAGAATGAAGAAACAACACGAACAATGATTACGAGCGCAGAAACTCTTTCACAGCCTCGCCCCAAACAGGTCCCCGTTTATACCAATGCATTTCAGGCACATTCCCCTCTTTCAACCCATCAATAGCAGCCGCCAGATCCTCCCCTAGCCCTTCATCCTTGATCATCTGGATTGGGTATGTATACGTATGAAACGCAAACACCAATCCCTTGCTCTGAGGAAGGCGATGCAAGGTTTGCCGTTCACACCTCAAAACCGTAGAATCCACCTCTAATTCGCCAAGATTTAAAGTCTTCTCTCCTTCACCCTCATCCCCGTGCACGCCGCCAAACGCAGCGAACAGTTCCGAATCGGTAGTAATACTCCAATTGACCCTCTGCACGAACTGACCGACCTCGATCCGCGCAAAGAATCGGTCCATACTGCGCTCAAGCTTCTCCTTATACCCCGGGACCGGGGTGTGGATGGACGCGAGACGGAGGCCGAGTTTCTTACGCGTGTCGAAGCCGGCAGGAAAGAAGGTCGTATATGCTTCCAGGATGTACTTTTCGGATTCTCCTTGGTTGCTCGAGGGGTGGGTTGACGATGATTCGGGGAGGAGAATGAGAAACTCCTCGTCGACTAACGTTCCCAGAATCTCGAGTTCTCTTCTCCCTGTTCTGAATCCGGGTTCGGATCCATTGAAGTGTAACGGAATCTTTGATCCTGTGACCATACTCTCGAGTATTGTCTTAGTCTCTGTTCCTGTCTTACTGTTGCCATCGCTTGGTTGGGAAGTCAGGCGGAACATCTGAGGGTACCGTGTTGGTAAATATGTCCCGACAACAAAAACATATAGCTCTCGGATTGCAGCGTAGACTCGCGGATCAGACTCGCTATTGATCCCAATGACTACGTCGGGATGTTTTTGAAGCAAGGAGGAGCGAATGGCTAGCCTGTCTTTGTACGTTTTGTCCATCTGGATGAGTGTTGAGGGGTCCAGATTCGATAATGCTTGAGGTAATCAGTATCATGTCTATACCGAGTTATGATTCTGGCTGTTTGAGACATACCCATCGTTAAGTGGTACTTTGGCTTAAAGGGCCGGAATTTCAGTGGCTCAGTAGTCTCCCAGTTAAAGTCCGGGAGGGGTTCGATGGACGGGTATGTCTTTTGGCTTTCATTGTCGGAAGTCGGCTTTGGTGTGCAGTTATTGGAGACAGCTGATTTCTATGCCTGTGAGCCAAACTATCGTCCCGAGTCCATGGAGCCAAGTCATACATATTTCCAAATGGCAACGCCGAACCCTAGAAGGGAAATGAGAAACACCACCGGTAACCTCTCCGTATAAGTGGCCATTGATTTAACCATGTAGACCCCCATCTTGTTGCTAGTCACTTATTCTGGATGCCTTGTTCAACGGAAGCCTGCTCGCAAGCTGAAGGAGTCATCGGTGAGGAGATATATAGTTCCTATGTTCGATGCTGGAGTTTAAGTTGACATTAGATATCTCTCGGTCTTGCGATTGGTCGACAATCCCGTTCAACGCCGATTGCTCAGAGCACCGAATATCTGGTCCTTTTTTACGGTGAGTGCCGTGTATATATAAGTTAATGAAATTGTAGTAGTGGGTCTGATATACATACAGGGGTATCAAATAAAAAACAAAAAAAAGACAAGTCAGACCGCCAGATAAGTCATAGCTTAAACAAGCTGACAATAGCAAACGTCAATAACTGTTGCAATATATGTCCAAAACGAAGGCAAAGTGAGAGCCAAGTCGAATATGCATACTGAAATACCAACCGGTGGGCAAACTGAAATGCGCTCTGTCGTTGACTACCTTACCAGGGTGCTCTCTGCCCTCGTCTTATTGCAATACCACGAAATCCCGTGTAAAAGTAACCAACTAGACGCATTCCTCAGTTACCTTCGTTTCAACCCGTTATTTTCTTCCTTTTCTGCCCCGGTTGCTTCGTAGCTTGCTAGCACAAAGGCCCTCCGCTGGCCATTTGGTCTTTCATTCAGGCTAGGAGCACGAGGCCGCTGCCTCCCCCTCGCCCGACCGCCAATTACGGGGAGCTCATACGTTAACATCCGCCAGACGTAGAGAGTCAAGTCGAAGATGATAAGTGTAGCCCAGGGAGCGATAGTGATGAGGCCCAGGACGAGCTGCGATAAGAAGACAGTTAGCGCACATGTCTTGGGAGACATCGGTACTAACTGCGCAACACGAATTACATACAAAGAGTCGGGCGATCCAGTTTTCAACATAGAGGAGGTCGGCTGGGAATAATGAGTACCACGCCATTTTCGTACTTGCGAAGTATGTATGTTATTTCGGTCTTTCCCGAGAATTGTTCGGCGATCGATCTACTGGAGAGCTGCGATCAGGGTATGGCGGCAATTCAAAACCAGTCCAAACGGCTGTCTAGTATAGTTGCCACCTAGTAGAGACCATGCGTATTCACCAGGAAGTTCAAGGAATTCAGGGAAGCCACCGGTGACAGCGTGGCTCGGAGCGTATTTGAGCACCTTCGTGTTCGGTTGTTTGCGGAGGCCGCGGTAACGAATGGTGGTGTTATGCGACGTGGAAAGAGGGGAAGGCAAAGGTTTGTTCGATTGAGGTCAGCCTGTGACAAGAGAGCTAAGGGAGACTAACAACCTCATCGCAGATGGAGTGCGATTAAGGGGGCGGAGACCAAGTGAAAGTACTACAGACATGAAGTTGTCAGGGGAGAGAAACAAACAAGGCATCCGAGTTCCGAGAGTTGGCCTCCGCCCAATCGGGTAATTGATACACCCTCCCAGCTTCATACAAGGATACGTACAAGACAACAAATATTATCCCAGATACTCCGGCGATAGCTCAATACATCATCCCACTTTGGTCGCTTCTATGTACAATCAATTCGGCTCATATAATACAACACAGATATCCAGATCATATGCACGTATATGCAGCGTTACTTCCGTTGACCCCCGTCCAATCATATCCAATACACTCCAAAGCTCTATAAACAACCACAAATAAAAAAAATAAAAAAAAGAAAAAGAGCTCAATACATGGTATACTCAGGTAATGTCGTTAATCACAGTTATCGTGGTCTGCGGTAGTACTCGTAGGAGGTTCTGGGATCTTCCTGCTCTATCGGCCCGTATCCTCCTGGCCGCCATCGATTGAATGGGGGAGCGCTGTCTGCCATAGCCGGCCCCTGCGCCTGACTGAGCAGGCGTGCTTCACTTTCATCGCCATGCTGATAGAGTCCGTTGCCCACCAGGCCACTATCCGAGTGGGACAGTGGGGTGCGGAACGCGGGATGGACGAGATCCTGATTACTCGTGTCATGGTTATCGTACTGTCTTAATCCAGATATGGAGGGGAGCGATGGCGTTGGAGACGCTGCTCGTGATGAAGTCGGCGACCACTCCCCTAGCCCGGTCCGCGGCGTCTGCGAGCGTTCGGTGATCAAGTCGTCCGGCCGGCCATAGATACCACCGCCGAACTCATCACGGAAATCCGGCCGGTCCTTATAGTAGGAGAAGTCGAGATGATTCTCTGGAACAACCTCGAATGGGGCGGATTCCGAGGCTTCCATCTTGGACTTTCCTGGATGAGATGCTAACATGGGATCCATCGCAATATCTGTGTATTCGCCTTCCACTTCTGAAGTGCCTATGCGACCCCGGTAGATACGCTTTAGCGCATCGGCGGCTTTTGCGTGTACCATCGGCGTGATTAGCGGTTTGTTGAGCGCCGGGTGGCCAAATTTGGAACTGAGTCGATCTGATGCCTTCTTGCTCGACTTCCCAGTCTCCAAGGCTTCGGCATCGCTCAGATTCGCACGATTGTAATATTTCATATCAATGTCAAACGTCCGCACACAGTACCACTTGAACCCCAGTAACAGAAGAGGTAATGGGATTACACAGAAAACCATTGTCCAGGTGCCTCTAGCCGTAGCCACCAGCGCAACGACAGCGTTGGATAGAATAGCTGCAAAGACCATACGGTTGAACACAACGCGCCAAAACTGCCCTCCGGATTCGTTCTTCGTGACAAGCACATACATCAGCAGATATTTTTTCATCATGGCATCCAATCCGAAATAGAGAGCAGTGACTGGCAGAACGATGGGCTGCAAAGTCGCAAAGCACAACGCTACGGTGGCGTAAAATAAGAAATAGTTATAGTAGCTTGCATATTCAAATGGAGGCGGAGCCGTCCATTCGATAGCCTGTCGCGGTGTTGGCGCCAGAAAGGTCTTGGAGAACCATACCCAGACCAAGGGAACTAGCTGTACGAGGTCGATCGCCGCTCCTAGGTTCCTCTGTAACAAGTAGGTCACCCAGAAGGGAGACACATTACACAATGCACTCACGGCCTTGGAGTAGAAGCCTCCATCAATCATAGCTTGCCAGGCATTCTCATTCTCCTTCTTGTCAATAACAGCTGCAATGAATGTCCACGCGGCTGAGAACAGTGAAAATACCACGAGATTGTTGAAGACGAAGAATGAATAGAGATGGTGAAGCACGTGCCTCTCTCGAGAACTCTTGGTTACATCACCAGCTTGGATGGACAGCCGGTGGAAGATGATGGGCAGGATAATATACACTAAGGACGTAATGGCGGGAGATAGAATACCCTGGACAGCAGCCCAGACGTGTGGGTTGGCGTTGAGGGACGTTTGAAAAGCCGGCCAGACCAATCCTAAGTTGTTCAAATTGGACAAGAAGATGGCAATCATGGCGTTAGGAACGATCCACAAGACTGTCAAGATCGAAACCCAGATGACATTGACGAAACGCTTCCATTTTCGTGCCTGTTTCGACAAAGGTAGATTTTCCCAGATGAGATCATTCGGCCGCGGAGCTAGCCTAATCGTTGTTCCCTGCGGTCGCTTTTTTCGTGCAGTGTAAGCTACCGCATGAGCGTGTTCAATCTTCTCCCAGCTGACGAAACCGAACGGCATGGCATTTCGCTTATCGATCGACGCTCGAACGTGCCGAATTTCTTCTTCTAATAACTGAATCCGATCAGTCAGATAATCAATGGCGTCTACTTTAGCGGGCGTCTCATCGTCTTTCTCTTTGCGGGGCGGGCGTATAGTAGGCCGATTAGGCGGTAGTCGATCGGGGTTTTTGAGATATTTCGCCAATACCGACTCCAGCTGGCGCACCGCTTCCTCATGTTCTCTGATGAGTTTGGGAAGACCTTTGACGTTACGGCCGATGGTGGCACGGGGTAGAGCAGCGGTGGGGTTGACACCATCGACCAGGCGCATAACACCCTCGTCCGATCGTGCTGCTGAAGGAATATCAGTGACCTAAGACGAGGGGTCAGTATATTAGTACAGAAGTGTTGCATCGTCGCTCCACTAGTAGGGCAAAATCTGTACCATCAAAGTCCGGGCATGAAGGCTACGCTGGTAGTCAGAACTCTGGAAGTATTTTCTCCGTAACGCGTAGACGGCCTTGTAGTTCCTCCAAAGGAAAAATGCCACAATCAAGTCGAAAGCCCACGCGCAAATGACTTGCCCCCAAATAGCTTGAACGGAGACATAAAGCGGAGTCATCGTCACGAAAGCCGACAACTGCGCTCTATAGTCTTTATTGCTCTGAGTAAGGTTGAGAGGAATCATTACACCGCAGCCGATTATGCTCAGAAAGATGAAGATATTGCGACACATCTTGGTGAAACGCAGGAAGACGGTGGCATCGAGACCAACGCAGTCAACGAGCTCTGGCTCTCTCGTGCGCAAAACCGGTTTCACCCAGGCAAAGAGGCCTTTTCCCACCGGCGGAGGGCTATGTTTGCGATCTGCATGTTTCACCTTAGGGGCGTAGACAACCGTGTGCCGAGGTCGGAACAGTGAAAAGAGTAGGGCAAGGAGGATGGAAGAACCGGCAGAGGTGGCCAACGAGGCCCAGACGGCGTTGCTTTGAAACTGTCCAGGTTAGCTCAGTGGCTCCAAAGGGGAAAACCAGGTATGGAGATGAACTGTGGGCCGCCTGTGCAAGAGAGAGCGGAAAAAAATAGAAGTAAATCAAAGCACAGACAATACTTACCGCGGACTTGAAAGGATCCTGGATGAGCTGCAGAAATTGGTCTATCGTATCCTCACGCCGCCATAGAGCACTAGTGTCCATGATGCCTTGACAACCAAGGCGACATGGGTTGAGGTTAATGGAATTGGAAGATAGAGGAAAGTGTAGGACGCAAGAGGAAACAAAATAAAATTGTTGTAGGAGCACTGAGACATCCAAGAGAGGAAGAATAGGAAAATGAAAGGAAAAGGTATGCACGATGGATGCGACAGATAAAAAGTGACAACAAGGAATGAATGGATAGATAGGAAGGCGAAAGAGTGGGTACAGCA